GCGATGGACCGAAATCACGACCGACTGCCACATTCAATTTGAGGTCCCATTACAGTTATAAATCAAGGACTAGCTGTACCTGCTTCCTTGGGGGGGCTGTATGGTAGACATGTCAAATCTGGCAAATTGGGGGTGAAATGTTGCCTGGAGGGCTGGAAGATGTTCCCAAAAGGACCTCCAGAAGTTTCTTTCCTGCTGGCTGGGGAATTCTGGGAGTTGAAGTCCACACATCTTCAAATTGCCAAAACTGGGAAGCATTATTCCAAATCATACTATTGAAGGACCGCTGAATTAAGGGGGGGAAATCCCATTCCTCTTAGCAGGGCTTCCCTCCTCAGGAATCCATTTCAAAATCCCCAAAGCAACTTGACGGGGTTTATTTCTTGGGCTTCTCTCTTTCATTTGCTCGCTTTACGACATTACAGATGTTTCTCCCATCCTCCTCTTTATGTTGCTCCAGATCTGGAAAAGCGTGAAAGTTCTTCACCTCAAAACCAGCAAATCCATTGCACTTCCTGTCTTCCACTCTGCTCTCCAGGGTCAGGTTGGTGCTCAGAAAAAGAAAAGCGTTGAAAACCAACAGGTGAGATTTGTATTACTTAAACATACATTTAAAAAGAAAAGAAAAAATGGTGCCTTACCTCTATGAGCAATTGTTAAGGCACCAATTTTCCTTTTTTTTTTTTTTTAAAGACACTGCAAAGAAAGAAAAAGAAAAGTAAGGCTAAACCGAAGACCACGGATCAGACGGGCACAAAAAGCGACACGAGTGGAGCTCCCGAAGCCGACGTGCCTAAAACAGACGAGGTGGAACCCCCTGCCCAGAAATCAAAAGAAGAGGAGGAAGAGATCCCACAACTGGTTCCTATTGAAACTCAGCCCTCTGAGAAAAAAGAACAGGTATTTATTTCAAAATATAAATTCCAAAAAAACCTGATTTCCTCCACAGGTAAAAAAGCGTATAAGCATTTCAATTTAGAGCAGGGGTCGCCAACCTTTTGGACCTCAGGGACCACCAAACTCATAATTTTAAATCCCGCGGACCAGACACCCTGGGAAAATCCCCAAAAAAGTCTGCAGGAAAATCCCCCACCCCATTTTCCTACCAATCGATCGTTCTTTATTTGGGATTGCAGGATAACATCTCCAGCTCTGTTCTCAAGGGGAAAGAGAGAGAGAAAGGGAAAGACTTTTGGCTTAATGCAAGGAAAGCAGCAGAAGCAGCAGAAGTCTTTCTTTCTCTCCCCCAAACTCCACCAGAAATGAGTCTTTGCTGGCGCAGCCTCTTGGAGCAGGAGGCCTTGCAGGGTCCCAAAGACTCATTTCTGGCGGAATTTGGGGGAGAGAAAGAAAGACTTTTGCTGCTTTCCTTGCATGCAGCCAAAAGCAGAAAAAGAAAGAAGTGGAAAGAAGCAGCCCAGTGGCCACATGAGGGACTTGGGGTGAATGGGGCAAGTTCCCCTCCTCTGCCCTTTCCCCCCTCCCCTTACTACCTCATGTTCACAATGCGACACAAGCCTTGTGTTCCTGCAAGCCATGTGGGCGGTGCAGCCTTGTGTTCCTGTGCAGCCTGGATTAATTGCTTTGGGGGGGTGACATTTCTCTGCGGATCACCAAAATTTTCTCACGGACCACCAGTGGTCTCCAGCCCTCTGGTTGGCGACCACTGATTTAGAGCAATGCCTCTTGACTTGAGCAACTGTGGACTTCAACTCCCAGAATTCCCCAGCCGGCTTTGTTCTCAATGTGTCTTTGTGTCTTTTTTTTTCTTTCCAAATAGGTGGCCAAGCTGAGGTTGGGTGCAAAAACACAGCTGGAGACCAGCTCTCCAAAACTCCGTAGCAAAAGGAAGGCCGGTCTGTCGCCAGAGATTCCTGTTTCGCAGCCAGAAACACCCGGAGAGGCTTCGGCCTTAGAGAAATCAAACCAACGGAGGTCTGGTCGAAAACCCAAGGTGCCCAAGCAAGAGTTTCTGGAAAAGACACAGAACAGAGATGCCCAGCAGCCCTTGGCAAAACCAACTGTGGCCCCAAAAAGGCTAAAAACTCCTAAATCAGACAAGAAGCCTAAAACTCCCAAACGGGAGCTGAGAAAAATGAAAGTTCCACTGTCCCTATGAGCAGAGGAGGAAGAAAATGGGCTCTTTTTATATCAAGATCAAAGGAAGGTTGGCGGAGAAGACGTTTATTCAACGCTGATTCACTTGTAAAAACATCCTGTATTTTGTTTTTTCATTGTAAGAATAAAACAACGTCCTATTTTACTCTGTTCTCCGAAGCTGAATTTTCCAAAGAGCTGTGTTTTTTTTCCCATCTGGACTTAGATATGAATGTGACAATCTAATTTTGTATATAATAATATTTCAGAATTAGTGTCTATGGAGATTCTCAGTCCTCCAGGTCATTGTTGTCCCAAAGGTGCTTTTTTCAAGAGGCAACTGTTGTTTTTCTTTGAAGAAGTTTTGCTTCTCATCCAAGAAGCTTCTTCAGCTCTGACTGGATGGTGGGGAATGGAAGGATTTATATTCCTTGAAGACAGTTGGTTATTTGCATTTTTTAAGAGGCCACTTGGAGGTTTGTCTGTTTCCTCAGGGTCACCTAAGTAGTGCAAATGACCAACTGTCTTCAAGGAGTATAAATCCTTCCATTCTCCACCATCCAGTCAGAGCTGAAGCAGCTTCTTGGAACGAGAAGTGAAACGTCTTCAAAGCTGCCTCTTGGGAAAAAAACACCTTTGGGACATTTCAGAATTAGGAGCAGCTTCACAAATTTGGACCCTCAGACCAACATATATAAAATGTCTTTATCTTTCTCAAGCTACTGGCCTTTCAGGGTAAACGAAAGACATATTTTCATGCTGTCTTTCTGTTATTCTTTTTTAGAATTTTAGAATTCATTATTTGGGATTGCAGGATAACATCTCCAGCTCCGTTCTCAAGGGGAAAGAGAGAGAGAAAGGGAGAGACTTTTGGCTTAATGCAAGGAAAGCAGCAGAAGTCTTTCTTTCTCTCCCCCAAACAAAGACATATTTTCATGCTGTCTTTCTGTTACTCTTAGAATTTGGTAAATGTAAAAATCTACGATGCTGCACCGTTTCTCATATGAAGACACAGGCTTGAAGGTTTGGGGTTTTTTTTAATGGTGGCCAACTAGGCGAGAAAGGGGCATGTCTCTGCAGTGTGAGGGGTGTGGCCCTGCCTCAGCCCAGGTGAGTACTCCAGGTGTGAAGTGTTCCGTTATTTTAGTGGCCAACTTGAGGGGGAGGATGGTCCTCGTGTGAGGAGCACGGATCTCCCTTGCCCCAAGAGCTGTAGATGTGACCAGGCATATCCTCTCTCTGTCTCGGTGAACAACCAGGTGAGAAGGGCATAGGCCCCGCTTCAGCCCAGGTGGTGCTTCAGGCATGAGTGGGCATGTCCCATCTTGAGGATCCAACTTGAGGACAAGTGGATGTGCTTCTCTGCCTCAGCTTAGGACCTCCAGGTGTATCCCACCAAATCATACCAGGAAACATACTGTTTCCTGGTATGATTTGATTGCTTATTGTACCCTATGACTATTACTAAGTGTTGTACCTGATGATTCTTGAGATATGTATCTTTTCTTTTATGTACACTGAGAACATTTGCACCAAAGAGAAATTCCTTGTGTGTCCAGTCACGCTTGGCCAATAAAGAATTCTAATCCTTCATTTCAGCGACCAACTAAAATAGAAGAGGGGAGGCACCCCCTGCAGGTCTGGTTTAGCCTGCAGGCCTATCCTGGCTTATTCCCCATCCTAGTTAGTGACCATCCAGGATAGAAGAGGGGATGTCCCCCTCTAGGTCTGGCTTAGCCTGCAGGCCTAGTTCCTATCCTAGTTAGTGACCAACTAGAAGAGAAGAAGGGAGGTCCTCCCTGCAGGTCTGTGTTAGCCTGCAGACTTCCCTATCCTGGCTTAGTTCTTACCCTAGTTAGTGACCAACTAGGATAGAAGGGAGGAGCCCCCCCCCCCCCCTGCAGAACTGGCTTAGCCTACAGGCTAATTCCCTATCCTGGCTTAGTGACTATCCTAGTTAGTGACCATCCAGGATAGAAAAGGGGAGGCTCCCTGCAGGTCTGTGTTAGCTTGTAGGCTAAGTCCATATCCTAGCTTAGTCCCTAGTTAGTGACCAACTAGAAGAGGGGAGGCCCCCCCTGCAGGTCTGGCTTAGCCTGCAGGCTAATTCCCTATCCTGGCTTAGTCCCTATCCTAGTTAGTGACCATCTAGGATAGAAGAGGGGAGGCCCCCTTGCAGGTCTGGCTTAGCCTGCAGGCTATCCTGGCTTAGTCCCTATCCTAGTTAGTGACCAATTAGGATAGAAGAGGGGAT